TGATGCTATCTAACCATCTTATCCTCTGTCGTCCTTCTACCCTCAATTTTTCCCAGCATCAGAGTCTTTTCCAGTGAGTCGGCTCTTCCCATCAATTGGCCAAAGTACTGGAGCTTCAGCATCAGTCCTTCCAATGAATATTCAAGGTTGATTTCCTTTAGGATTGACTAGTTTGATTTCCTTGCAGTCCAAGGGACTCTCAACAGTCTTTTCCAGCATCACATTCGAAAGCATCAATTCTTCAGCACTCAGCCTTCATCATGGTCCAACTCTCACATCCACTACATGACTGTTGGAAAAACCATAACTTTGACTAGATGGACCCTTTTTGGCAAAGTGATGTCTCTGCTTTTCAATACACTAAGTTTTTCATAGCTATTCTTCCAAGAAGCAATTGTCTTTTAATTTCATGACTGTAGTCACTATCTGCATTGATTTTTGAGCCCAAGAAAATAAAATCTGACACTGTTTCCGCTTTTTCCCCATCTGTTTGCCATGAAGTAATGGGACCAGATGCCATGATCTTCGTTTTTTTTAATGTTGAGTTTTAAGCCAGCTTTTTCACTTTCCTCTTTCACCCTCATCAAGAGGGTCTTTAGTTTCTCCTTAATTTCTGGAGAAATAAAATTAACAAACTTTAATATAATTAACAAATTTTAGCTAGACAGACCACTACCAAGGGAAAAAAATACAAATATTGCTGAAGTCAAGAAATAAAGAGGGGCAATTACTACCAATTCTACAGAAATTAAAAAGGATTATAAGGGAATAGTATGAATAATTTTTTGCCAACAAATTTCACAGTTTAGATGAAATGGACAAATTTGTAGAAGTTCTCAACATATCAGATGATTTACAAAGAAACAGCAAATCTTATAACAAGAAGTTTTTAATAGATCTATAACAAGTAAAGATGTTGAATTAATAGTTTAAAATCTTCCCACAAAGAAATGTCCAGGCCCAGATGGCTTCACTTTGAATTCTGTCAGCTATTTAAAGAAGAGACGTTACAATCTTTACAAACTCAGAAAATGGAGAAGGAAGGATCACATCCCAAATCATTCTATGAGACCAGTGATATCCTTAAAGCAAAATGAGACGAAGATCACAAAATGATATTACAGGCCAATTTCGCCCATGAACATAAACATGAAAATCCTCAAAAAAATATTAGCAAAGCAAATCTGGTAACATATAAAATTGTTATACCCCATGACCAAGAATTTATCCTAGGAATGCAAGATTGGTTTACCATCCAAAAACACTACTGCTGTATACTTACACATCATATGAATAAAATAAAGGAGAAAACCACACAATTTATAAAATACAACATTTTAACAAACTGATGAAAAAATAGGAATTGAACGAAACTTCCTCAGCTTAAAAAAAAGGCAACTGAAAAATCTACAACTAGCATCGTACTTCATGGTTAAAGACTGGATGCTAAAGACGGATCCTTACGGATGTCTGTTGCCACTTCTATTCAACACTGCACTGAAGATTCTAACCAGCACATTTAGTAGATGAAAAAAAAGAAAGACATCCAACTTGGAGAGGAAAAATGAAGATTTTTCATTTTTTCATGATTCTGTATGTAGACAAATCACACACACCACAGACACACACACAAACTAGAACTAAATTTAGATGTTCAAGAGGTAGAAGAGAATCATACAAAAATCAAGTGTGTTTCTAACACAAGAAACAATATGAAAATCAAATTAAGAAAGTTTCATTCACAAGTATTAAAATGAACACTTTGGATAGCAAAAGAAGTGGAAGACATTTACAGTGTACAGTGTTGGACTACTAGTGTTCCCATTAGGGGACAGGTGCAATGTGGAGACATTTTTAGTTGTTACAGTTTGGGGGAGGGGATACTATTGGCATTTAATAAGTAAAGGCCGGGGATGCAGTTAAACATTTTACAATGCATAGGACAGCCTTCCGCAACAAAAATTATCTGGTCCCAAATGTCAACAGCACCAAGGTTGAAAATTTTTCTCTAAATAAATGGAGAGGCATTTCATGCTCATTGATTTGAAGACAACCCTGTCAAGATGCCAGTTCTCAAATGGATCTATAAATTCAATATAATCTCTATTCCAGAAGCTTTTTGGGTAGAAATTGATAAGCTGATTGTAAGATGTATATGGAAATGCAAAGGGTATGGAGTAACAAAACAATGTTTTAAAATAATAAAATGAGAGGACTTACATTACCAGATTTCAAAACTTAGTGTAAACTACAGAATCAAGACAATGTTTTAAAATAATAAAATGAGAGGACTTACATTACCAGATTTCAAAACTTACTGTAAACTACAGAATCAAGACAGTTTGGTATTGGTACAAGAATAGAAATATAGATGATGGAACAGAAAGTCCAGAAACCCTTACATTTATGTCATTTGATTTTTGACAAAAATCTAAAGGCAATTCAGAGGAGAAAGAAAATTCTATTCAACAAATGGTCCTGGGAGAGTTGTATATCTGCATGGAAAAAAAAAAAGGAAAAAAGACTTAGATCTTTACCTCATATCATACACAAAAAATGAATTCAAACTGGATCATAGATCTAAATATAAGAGCTAAAATTTTAAAACTTCTAGAAAAAAATGTAGAAGTTTATGATTTCTGGTTAAGTGAAGATTTCTTACATGTAATATCAAAAGTATAATTCATAAAAGAAAAAGTGATAATGGAATTTATCAAAATTAAAAACTTATGTACCTTAAAAGACATCGTTAAGAAAATAAAAGCTATAGATTGAGAAAAAATATTGCAAACCACACCTCTAATATAGGAATTACATACAGAATACACAAATAGCGTTGCAGTTCAATAATATGAAGACAGACCTTCAGCAGTGGCTCAGAGGTAAAGACTTCGCCTACAAAGCAGGAGACTCAGGAGACAGGTTTCAATCCTCTGGTTGGGAAGATCCCCTGCAGGAGGACATGGCAATCCCTCCAGTATTCTTGCCGGGAAAAGTCCATGGACAGAGGAGCCTGGCAGGCTACAGTCCATTGGGTCACACAGAGTCGGACATGACTGAAGTGACTGAGGATGCACGTAATATGAAGATAAACAATGCCAATTGAAAATGGGCAAAAATTTTGGAAAGATATTTCATCAAAGAAGATGTAAGAACCGCTAATAAGCACATGAAAAGGTGTTCAATATCATTAGCTGTTAGGGAAATGCAAATTAAGGCAACAATGACTTATCACTACATACCAAATGGAACTGGAACCCTCATACCTTGCTGTAATGTAAAGTGGTATGGTGGCTAAGTTTGCAGTTTCTTTAAAAATTAAACATATATCTTATCACTTAGCAGTTCCACATCTAGGAATCTATTCAAAAGAAATGAAGACATGTCCACACAATGACATGCAGTGAACGTTCACAGCAGCATTATTTCTAATAGCTTTATTTAATTGGCTGCGCCAGGTCTTAGTTGTCACATATGGGATCTAGTACCCTGACCAGGGATTAAACCCGGACCCCCTGCATTGGTAGCACAAAGTCTTAGCCACCGGACCACCAGGGAAACCCCTCTAATAGCCTTAAACTAGAAACAGCATAAATGTCCATCTACTGGTGCGTGGATAAACAAAATATGTCATATCCACACAATGAAATACAACTCAGCAACATAAGGGAACAAACTTTATGCTTGGCGAAAAAAGTCAGATGCAGAAGACTACACAGTGCATGGTTTCATGTGTCTGAAATGTCCAAAAAAGGTAAAATTATAAAGACAGAAAGCACATCAGTGGCTTCCTAGGGCTTGGGGTGGGCGCAGAGATTAAGTGCAAACAAGCAGGGAGAAATTTTTTGGCTGATGGAAATGTTCTTGTGAAGATAGCACACCTTGTTAAATTTGCTAAAAATCATTGAATTGTATATTTGGAGTGGACTGTATGCCCTGTAAGTTATTAATCAATAAAGCTTTTTTTTTTTTTTTTTAACTTCAGCTCCTCGGGGAGGAGAGGGGCATACGGTAAAGGCACCAAGGTTTCTGAGCATGCCACGGGACTAGATCAGCTTGCTTCTACCAGGCGAGTGTATCACCTTTCCTATTAATAATTTGCAGATTTAGGGTCTTAGCTATATAGTCTTCAAGAACTACTGTAGCACTGAATCGGAGTATGCCTGGTTGAGAATAGATAAATGGCAAAATTATGCACAGCTGTAACCAAAGGATGCTTTTGTTTGTTTCCTTTATAAATTTTGGGTCCTATAACAAGCAGGCCTTCCCAGATACCTCTTTTCCGAGGTATCACATTGCTTTAAGCTAGAGGAAACAGTACCGAATGGCAAATTGCACAGCTTTGTGTCTCAGGCCACGGAGAGAAAGCCAGCATGGCTAGAACAGTGAGACAGGAGCTGGGCGCGTGGTGGGCAGAGACCAGGTCATGTAGATTCGTCTGCTCGTTTTGGGAAGGCCCTGAAGGATGGTAAAGAGTTCAGGTTTCAGTAGCAGGCTTGCCTGAGTTCAAATCCCATTGCGCTACACTCTAGCTACGTGATACTGAACAACTTGCTTAACTGCTTCAGTTCTTCCACTTTAAGTTGGGGGAGAACAATAGCACTCAAAGGATTGTGAGGACTAAGTGTGCTAATAAAAGTAAGGGCTTTAGAGTAAGCACGTATTTAAGTGCCCAGCCGACATTTAAATTAGCAGGAGAGGGACGCTCCGCCTGTGGGACACTCGCAGCCCGCCGCGTTTCCCAGAACGCCTGCAATCACTATAGTAACGGCCACCTACTTCCGGAAGAAGTACGGCGCGCGGCGAGGGTCAATCCCTGCCGTACACATCAGCGCGCTGACCCACGGGCTGTGGAGGGGTCAGTCTCCGACGCCGTCGACCCCGGCCCGCTGCTTCCCAGGCTGTCGCGGGTGCTCTCGCAGGACCGCCCGCCTCTGCAGCCGAGTGGTCGCCCGGAGCCCGGTCTTCAGGCTTGGACCCCGAGCTGCGACGGTGCAGCCATGGACTTCTCCAAGTTCCTGGCGGAAGACTTCGACGTGAAGGAGTGGATCAACGCGGCCTTCAGGGCTGGCCCCAAGGAGGCGGCGGCCGGGAAGGCGGACAGCCACGCAGCCACCCTGGTGATGAAGCTGCAGCTGTTCATCCAAGAGGTGAACCACGCCGTGGAGGGTGAGCGGCCGGGCAGAGCTCCCAGACGGGCCCGGGGTCCGCGGGGGTGCACGTAGCGGGCAGTAAATGTCAGCGCCTCGGCTTGGAGAGCGAGCGAGCGAGCGAGCCCGGGTCCGGTTTCCGCGCAGTCCTCGTGGGGACATCCAGGTCTCAGCCCGCCACTCGTCTCTGCAACTCTTGCAGATTTGGGATCTTGCTTTCCACTTCCGGCAGTGCTGTCAAGTTGCCTTTTAAAACTTACTGGAGTGAATTTTAAGAATATGAAATAACTAGTCAACTGATCCTTACATTTGGCAAAAAGCATATAGAAGGTGTATAGGAAAGACACAAATCGGGAAAACCTTGTTTTAATGGATTTTTTTAAAAAAATTATCTTGTTACTTGTAGTTGATTTACAATGTTGTGTTAATTTCTACTGTACAGTAAAGTGATTCCGTTATATATGTTATATATATGTATTCAGTAAGCTGAAACTCCAATATTTTGGCCACCTGATGCGAAGAGCTGACTCATTGGAAAAGACCCTGATGCTGGGAAAGATTGAAGGCGGGAGGAGAAGGGGGCGACAGAGGATGAGATGGTTGGATGGCATCACCGACTCAATGGACATGAGTTAGAGTAAACTCCAGGAGTTGGTGATGGGCAGGGAAGCCTGGCGTGCTGCTTCCATGGGGTTGCAAAGAGTTGGACACGGCTGAGCGACTGAGCTGACTGACTGACTGTATATACTTATATATATATACATTCTTTATCGCATTCTTTTCCATTATGGTTTGTCACAGCATATTGAATATAGATCGTTTCCTGTGCTGTCCAGCAAGTAGGAACTTGTTTATCCCTTCTCTATATAACAGTCTGCATCTGCTAACTTCAGACTCCCACTCCATCCTTCCCCCACACCCCTCTTAGAGTGGATCTCTGTGTCAGTGAGGAAGATGGGCTGTCCTGATTGGAGACTTTTTTTTTTTTTCCATTTTTGGCTGTGCTGGGGTTTTGTTGCTGCACTCAGACTTTCTCTGGTTGTAGAGAGTGGGGGGCTGCTCTCTAGTTACTGTTCGTGGTCTCACTGTGGTGCTTCTCTTGCTTTCGAGCACACGATCTAGGGTTCACGGGCTCAGTAGTTGTGACTCATGGACTTAGTTGCTCTGCAGCATGGGGGATTTTCCTGGACCAGGGATTGAACCAGCGTTCTCTGCATTGGCAGGCAGATTCTTGACCATTGGACCACCAGGGAAGCCCTAATGGGAGACTTTAAAGTATCAAATTAACTAACCAGAATAGTGAATTATAAAAAAATAATGCACACCAGAGTTAATAATAATTTCATGTGTCTGCTGTGCACCTGTCAAGAAATGAGCACCAGGGGTGAAAAGTTTATCTTTCTGGAGCTTGCTGCCTTGTGGGGAAGACCCGGGAACAGTTTAATTACAATGAAGGGTGGATTTACTGAGAACAGAACTGGAAGCTGAGAGCTAGATGGAGGCAGCAGCTGTCTCTTGTCTGGGAGGTTCATAAAGGGCTTTCTCTGTGTTAGGCCTTGAAGGAAGGCTTCACAGGGCAAAGATGGGGAAGACATTGTGCTTAGTCACTCAGTTGTGTCTGATTTTGCGAGCCCATGGACTGTAGCCCACAAGGCTCCTCTGTTCATGGGATTCTCCAGGCAAGAATACTGGAGTGGGTTGCCATTCCCTTCTCCAGGGGATCTTCCCTACCCAGGGATCAAAGCCAAGTCTGCATTGCAAGAACATTCTTTACTGTATGAGCTACAGGGAAGTTCGGGGGGGATTTTAATAATGATATGATGGCAAATATCTGAGTCCTTGGTATACGTCAGGCACTATTTTAAGTGCTTTATATGAACTTTTGTAAAAAGAGTTACTTAATACTTAGTAATCCATGGTCTTTTTGAAACAAATTATTTAAACTTTATTTGGCTGCACAGGGTGTTTAGCTGTGTCATGAGAGGTCTTCAGTATGGCCTGTGGAATCTTTAGTTGTGGCATTCAAACTCTTAGTTGCGGCATGCAGGATCTAGTTACCCGACTAGGGATTGAACGTGGGCCCTCTGCATTGGGAGCACAGTCTTAATAACTGAACCACCAGGCAGTTCCCTTGGATAGCCTTAAGCTATCGTAGACACAGCATAAATGTCCATCACCTGGTGAGTGGATAAACGAAATATGGAATACAACTTAGCAACATAAGGGAACAAGCTTTATCCTTAGTGAAAGAAACAAGATGCAGAAGACTACATAGTGCATGATTTCATGTCTGAAATGTCCAGAAAAGGTAACTTTTTAGAGACAGAAAGCAGATTAGAGGTTTCCCAGGGCTTGGGGTGGAAGCAGAGATTAAGTGCAAAGGGGCAGGAAGGAATTTTTTGGCTGATGTCAATGTTCTTGTGGAGATAACACACCTTGTTAAGTTTGCCAAAAATCATTGAATTGTATATTTGAAGTGAGTGAATTGTATGCCATGTAAGTTATTCATCAATAAAGCTGTTTTTAAAAAGCTTCAGCTTGTCAGGGAGGAGAGGAGCATATCATAGAGGCCCCCAGACTTAATGTCCTGCAGTTCTTGGGATAGCCCTATGCAACGAAGAAATGTCCTAGAGAGAATGTTAATAGTGCCTCCCCCTCCCCCAGCAAGATTATCTTATTTAAACATGGCAGTAATCCTTGGAGGTAGGCACAGTTATTATTCCTGCTTTATAGTTGTAGAAACTGCAGCTGAAGGTAGGAACTTCCCCAGCATCGTGTTGCTAATGAATGGGGAGACTGGATTTGAACCCAAGTGACTGGTTTCAGAGACCAGGCTCTTATCCATTATACTTTACTACCTCTCTGGTATTAATGGGAGAGGGAACACTTGTAGAGGCAGGTGGGTATAAAGAGACCTACCCAGTGCAGAGAAAGGTGAGAAGTTCAAACAGAACTTCATCAATAGCATCAATAAATATTAGTCCTTATTATTATTGGAGGATTACACTTCCATGGGGAGGAATTTCTGTTGGAAATAAGGTAGAAAAGTAGAATAGGATCAAACTGTCAAAGGCCTTTCTGGCCATCCTAAAGGTTTGGTTTTCATCCTATAGGCCAGGGATCCCCAACCCCTGGGAACTATTAGGAACCGGGCCACAGGAGGTGAGCAGTGGGCAAGGGAGGGAAGTTTCATCTGTAATTTATAGCCACCTCCCATTGCTCACTTTTACAGGAAGCTCCACTTCCTGCTCGAGGAACTCAATGAGTTCAATGCTCTTGAATCATCCCGAAACCATCCTCTGCCCCGCCCCTTTCCACCTTCCCAGGTCCATGGAAATTTTGGTCCCTGGTGCCAAAAATGTTGGGGACCACTTCTGTAGGTAGTGAGAAGCCATAGAAGGTTTAAAGCTTTATTTTTAGGGTCAGTGAGACAAGGTCCCAAGTCTGTGGTGAGAAGAAGTTATTGCAGAGGTTGAAATAGGAGCTGTTGAGGATCCCTAATAGGGAGGATTGATTGATTATTCATTCAATCAGCAAATATTTATTGGGCACAAACTCTATTCTTCAGGGTCCAGAGATGCAGTGATCCATTCTTAGGTTGGAGATGTTGGCAGGGGCCAGGTCATGTGGGGATTTTACTGGCACATTTAAGAGTCTAGATTTGATTTAAAATGTGTGGGGTGGGAAAGTACTGGAGGATTTTCAGGCAGGACAATGAGATGATTTAAGTCGCTGTTCAGGAGACCATTGCTCTAGTCCAGAAGCGAGGTGACTGTGGCTTCACTTGGGTTTCTGACAGTAGAGATGGGGAGAGATGGGCACCTTTAAGGTATTTTCAAGAGAAAGGGGAGAACTTACTGATGGATTGGAATGAGGAATAAGCGGGGAGAAAATCAAGAATGATGGCAGATTCTTGTGTTCTGACCAAGCATGGATAGAGGTGCCAAACGTGCCACAATGTTCAGGGAATTTGTCGTGAACTTCCGAGCACCCATTGCCTGATTCTGCAGTGAGCAGTGGCTAGTCTTGCTTTATTGCAAATCTGTCCATCCCTCTATCCATCCATCCATCGTATTTATTGATGTATTTAAAAATAAATTGCAGATATCAGTACACTTCGCCCTTTAAACATTTCATTTAGAACCCTAAACATTATAGAGTTCAATTCTTGTTTATAGCTCTTTTTTTTCACTAGATAAAATTTATGTAAGGTGAAGTGGAGGGACCTTGTCTGATCAGTTTGATGGGTTTTGACAGGTGTATACGGCTAATGTAACTCACCCCCCATCAAGACGTAGAAGATTACCATCACCTTAGGTGGTCCCCCCGCCCCCCCTCCGATGGAGATTTGGCCCTTACCCTTCCAGAGGCATCCACAGGAAGTGACAGTTTAAAAATAGATTCTAGAAAGAACTAAATTTGAGGGTGCTTTGGGGGGGGTGGGGGAAGTTCACAGGGAACCGACCAGACTTGAAGAGTGACTCTGAGGTTTAGCAGGCAAGGGGCCGGGCCAGGGCCATAACAGCCTGTTAAAGATCAGGAAGCCTCTGTGCTCCGAAGAAATCTTTGTGGGTTCTGCCTTTGTTTTTGTTAGTCATAAAACTTTCTTAAGGTCGGTGCTGGAGACAGAATGTTGTTTTACGGCAGAGCGGGGTGAACAGGTTCTTGAAGTGTGTTTTCGATGTTAAATTTCCATTCAGTGTACTGGTACCAGGAGCAGAAGGCTCTGGACTTCTTTGGTTGATTCCCCGGTGAATTGCTCTTTAAAGGACCAAAGGATTATGCCTTTTCAGATAAAACATCCTGATCGGCAAGGATTTTCAGATTTTACTCTACACTTGGGATGTCTGTTAAAAAAAAAAAAATACAGGTTCCTGATCTCCTACCAGGATTCCTAAATAAGAATCTCTGGCAGGTGACCCGGGGACCTGCATTTTAACTGCATTCCAGCTACCAGTGGTCTGTGGACTGCAGTTTGAAAAGACCACGGAAGCAGACTGGGTCCAGACACACGTTGGCTTCAGCTCTGTGAAATCTTAGGCAAGTTACTTAACCTCTCTGAGCATTAGTTTTCTTTTCTGGAAGAGGCAGCTGCTAATGACTGCTGTGTATGTTAAGTGACGTATGGAAAGCTTGGGGTGCAGAGCTGGCATTCACCAGTGTCAGATTCCTCCCTTCTCCTTCCTGGAAAAGGGAATTGCATGCGAATTCCTTGCCTGTCCAGTGGTTAGGACTTTTTGCTTTCACTACTGGAGGGGCCTGGGTTCGTTGGGAACTAAGATCTTGCAAGCAGTGTCACGCAACCAAAAAAAGAAGTTGCACTTTATTTAACTCAGTGGTGGTGGGTCAGGTTGATGGTTTATCAGGGCCTTCACCATCATCCTGGGGAACACAGGGTCCCAGCAGACGCTAGCTACCCTAACCCCCTACCCCCCACCTCCCTACCCCACTCAGAAAACTGCATGGCTCATAGAGCCTTAGGGAAGATTTGCTTCCTGTCGTCTAATTTATTCATATTGTTCACTGGTGAGCAGTCCGGTGTTCACCTTTGGTTCTTGGGTTCTCGCTGCAGAAACAAGTCACCAGGCCCTCCAGAACATGCCCAAAGTGCTCCGTGATGTCGAAGCCCTTAAACAGGAGGCGTCTTTTCTGAAAGAACAAATGATTCTTGTCAAGGAGGACATTAAAAAGTTCGAACAGGACACATCTCAGTCGATGCAGGTATTTTGACTCCTAAGTGTTGACTCTTTGGAAGATGTTTACCTTCCCAGAGGGAGGCCACCCCGCAGAATTCTGCCAAACACTCAAACTCCTCTTTTGTTTAGTACTTTTAGCTTATTCATCTTTTAAGCATCACTGAACGTTTAACCATGTGATCCATGCTGTGCAGAGTACACAATTCCCTAAGGCAGGACCATATCATGACACTTATGTTTCGAGTTACTTGCGGAAGGCAGAGAAAATGGAACTGCCACTTCCTTAGTGTCTGAGACCTTCATTTCTCTTCTAGGTGTTGGTAGAAATCGACCAGGTCAAGTCCAGAATGCAGCTTGCCGCAGAATCTCTTCAAGAAGCCGATAAATGGAGCACGTTGAGCGCTGATATCGAGGAGACGTTTAAGACGCAGGTAGGTTTCTTGGTTAGGGGATGCTGTATTGTTTTGTTATTAGGCTTCCCTGGTGGCACAGATGGTAAAGAATCTGCCTGCCAAGCAGGAGACTTGGGTTCGATCCCTGGGTTGGGAAGATTCCCCTGGAGAAGGGAATGGCTACCCACTCCAGTATTCTTGCCTGGAGAATCCCATGGACAGAGGAGCCTGGCGGGCTTCAGTCCATGGGGTTGCAGAGAGTCAGACACGACTTAGCAACTGAACAACAACAACAAAGCTAAAAGTTATATCTTGTTTTTTCTCTTCCCGACCCTCTTGATACTCAGAACTCACTGCCCACAAGACCCAAAGCATCTAGCTGAACTCTCCCAGGCTCTTGAACAATGGAAGTTCCTATTTCTGCCCAAAGCCACTCTCCATGTGCCCCAGGGCCCCTCTCTTGGGTTAATGCGTCCTTTTCCGTGCAGGTATACCTACCTGGGAACCTCAGCGGCCCTTCAGTGCCCCCTTCTCCTTGCCCCTCCCCTCTTTCTCTTCTGTCATCTGTTCTTTCTGTCCCTCTGCCACTGCCTTGTCTGGCTTTGTAGTCATTTTGCCCCTAGACCATTTCAGCAACCGTCCACTCGCCGCCTTGCCATCAGGGCCCTCCCCGATCCCAGGTTATCCCCCCGACGCGTCCAGGGCATCTTCTAAAGCACAGATTGGCATGTGGCATTTCCCTGTCCCTCACACCCCTAGCCCACCCCATCTTAACCTCTGCCAACTTCCCATTTTCCATCTGATAAATTCTACGCCCCCTACAAGCCACAACCTGTCCTTCCCCACAGGGCTCTGGGCAGCCTGTGTTTACAGCTGTTCCTCCGGCCACTCCCTCCAGGTGATTTCAGCCTCTGCCTGCTCCAGACTGTGAACACCCCATCCGTTTTCATGCCTGTTCCCTGTTCCCTGCCTGAGCTGTCCCCCTCTCCTTTTCTTTACAGGACAGTAGCCTCCGCTTGTCCCTCGAGGCAGTTAAATGTCACCTCCTTTTACAGCTCTCCTTGCTGGCTCCTGGCCTCTCCAATGAGTGGAACTCATGGCCCCCTCCCCTGTGCTCCTGTGACCCTTGAGCCAACCTCTTTTTATTTATTTATCTATCTAGTGGCTACCCCACGTGTGATGTGGGGTCTTAGTTCCCTGACCAGGGGTCAGACCCACACCCCCTGCATTGGGAGTGTGCAGTCTTAACAGAACCACCAGCGAAGCCCATGAGCCAGCCTCTTAAAGTGTCTCATAATCTTTTTCCCCCAAGTCATTCATTGCACATTCAGGGCCTGCACTGTGACCTTCCTCGTCTTTTTGTCTCAACCATCTTTAAGACGGTGTCTGAGGCATCGTGGGCACCTGTTGAACACTGCAATGACCTACGTTTCCTTTCTCTCTTCATTCTTTTTTTTTATAGTTTTGTATTTGTAAACATAACTTATGTGTGTCTTACAAGATTTGGAAAATTGAGAAAAATGCAAGGAAGAAAACAGAATGATCCTATTCCTGTGCCCTAATAGTATTTTTTTCTTTTTTTAAAATGTCTGTTAGGTATTTTTCTAAGTGTTTGTAAAAATTTATACTTTTGTACTATCTTTTATGGATGCATATATTGTAGGTATATGTTGGGTTGGCCAGAAAGTTCATTTGGGTTTCCAATAACCCAAGTGAACTTTCTGGCCAACCCAACATATACATGTTTCTGTATATTCTAGTGTTTGTGTGGCCTTTTTGTTGTTTTTTTCACCTAATGATAAGTTGTAGATATTTTGCTCTGTAATTAATACTTTTCAAAACATGATTTTTAAAAACATTTAAATTTATTTGCTTACTTTTGGCTCTGCTGGGTCTTTGTTGCTGCTTGGACTTTTCCCTAGTTGCGACGAGCAGGGTCTCCTCTCTAGTTGCAGTGCACGGGCATCTCATTGTGGTGGCTTCTCTCGTTGCAGAGCACAGGCTCTAGAATGTTCAGGCTTCAGTAGTTGTGTCTCTTGGGCTCTAGAGCACTGGGTCAGCAGTTGTGGTGCCTGGGCTTACTTGCTCCATGGCATGTGGGATCTTCCCAGACCAGGAATCGAACCCTTGTCTCCTGCATTGGCAGGTCATTGTGGTGGCTTCTCTCGTTGCAGAGCACAGGCTCTAGAATGTTCAGGCTTCAGTAGTTGTGTCTCTTGGGCTCTAGAGCACTGGGTCAGCAGTTGTGGTGCCTGGGCTTACTTGCTCCATGGCATGTGGGATCTTCCCAGACCAGGAATCGAACCCTTGTCTCCTGCATTGGCAGGTGGATTCTTTACCACTGAGCTATCAGGGAAGCCCCTAAATATGATTTTTAATGACTGTACAATATCTCACATGCCATTATGAGTGTCATAATCTATATTTTATTTATTATGGAAGATTTAGGTTCCTTCCAGGTCTTTGTTATTACAACACTAAAATCACATTAATCAGTTTTAATGCATTGATATTTCTGTGCCCCTCTGATTTTTCTCCTTCTATTTCTAGAACAGAAAATACCAATTTCTAAGGATGTGAATATTTTTAAGGCTCTTGATACATATTGCTACTTTGCCCCCCAGAAAAAATACAAATTAAAACAAACTTTTTCCTTGCACCCTTCCCAAAAATAGCGGTTATAATTTTTCAGAAGTTTTTCCAGTTTGTTAGGAAAATGGCACTTCCTTGTTTTAATTTGCTTTTACTTGAAGAGTAGTAATACTGAACATGAAGTGTTTATGAGCCATGTTCTCTTCATTGGAGTGTCTTAGCATAAATATTACTTACTTTTTCTGCTCTTCTTATAGGACATAGCTGTGATTTCAGCCAAGCTCACAGGTATGCAAAACAGCCTCATGATGCTGGTTGATACACCAGACTACTCAGAAAAATGTGTGCACTTGGAGGCGTTGAAGAACCGGCTGGAGGCCTTGGCCAGCCCCCAGATAGTAGCAGCGTTCACATCTCAGTCTATTGGTGAGTGCTGGCTGCTTCCCATTTCTCTGTACATCCCTTTAAACAGATGAGGCTTTCCATGTCTTCAGCTTTAGAATGTCTTAATTTTGATTAAATTACGTAGTTTGGAAGTCAGTCTGTAACTTCATGGTGGTTGCCTTGAACATTCTATATGAACTTTCTCAAAATACAGACAGGTTTGTAGTAACCCACCAGTGAACATATCATCTAGATCCTAGGATTAGCACTTGCCACATTTGCTTTATCACATATCTATTCATCTACCCACCTCTCTATCCATCCATCTTATTTTTATTATGCAAGTAAAAGTAAGTTACAGACATCAGTAGACTTCACTCCTAAACACTTCAGCATTCATATCAGTAGCTGGAGTTCAGTGTTAGTTTAGGATCCTTTCTTTTTTTGAGGTAAAGTTTACATTTAGTGTTAGTTGCTCAGTCATGTCTGACTCTTTGTGACCCCATGGTCTGTACCCCACCAGGTTCCTCTGTCCATGGAGTTCTCCAGGCAAGAATACTGGAGTGAGTAGTCATTCCCTTCTCCAGGGGATCTTCTTGACCCAGGGTTTGAACCTGGGTCTCTTAGATTGCAGGTGGATTCCTTACCACCTGAGCCACCAGGGAAACCATTTAGAAAAATGTACAAATCTTAAGCCATTTAGAAAACTGTACAGATCTTGAGTTTTGACCTTTATCAAGACCATTGTAATACTTTGTTATTTTCCAGTGATTTTTTTCCAACACGTAAGTTTACCTTGCTCTCCCTCTCCATTTCATCCACAAAACTATTGGTTAAATAAGAAGCAGCAATAAAGCTGCTTTCTTACCTTATTGTTGTTGTTGAGTCTTCCAGTTGTGTCTGACTCTTTGCAGCCCCATGAACTGCAGCATGCCAGACCTCCCTGTCCCTCACCATCTCCTGGAGCTTGCCCAAATTCATGTTCATTGTATCGGTGATGCCTTCCAGCCATTTCCTCCTCTGATGCCTTCTTCTGCCCTCGATCTTTCCCAGCTTTAGGGACTTTTCCCATGAGTCATCTGTTCACATCAGATGACCAAAATACTGGAGCTTCAGCTTCAGCACTAGTCCTTCCAGTGAATATTCAGAGTTGATCTCCCTTAAGATTGACTGGTTTGATCTCTTTGCTGTCCAAGGGACTTTCAGGATTCTTTTCCAGCACCACCAGTTCGAAGGCATCAGTTCTTTGGTGTTCTGCCTTCTTTATAGTCCAGCTCTCACAACCGTACATGACTACTGGGAAGACCATAGCTTTGACTATACGACCTTTGTTGGCAGAGTAATGTCTCTGCTTTTCAACACACTATCTAGGTTTGTCATAGCTTTCCTGCCAAGAAGCAGTTGTCTTCTGATTTCATGGCTAAATTCACTGTTGGCAGTGATTTTAGAGCCCAAGAAGAGGAAATCTATTACTACTTCTACCTTTTCCCCTTCTATTTGCCATGTAGTAATGGGGTTGGATGCCATGATCTTAGTTTTTTTAATATTTAGTCTTAAGCTGGCTCTCTTACTCTCTTTCTATACCCTCATGAAGAGATTTTTTAGTTTCCTCTTTGCTTTCTGCCATTATAGTAGTGTCATCTGCATGTCTGAAGTTGTTGATGTTTCTCCCGCTTATCCTGATTCCAGCTTGTAACTCATCCAGCCAGGCATTTCTCATGATGTGCTCAGCATATAGTTAAATAAACAGGGTGACAGCATACACCTGTCATATACCTCTCTCAATCTTGAACCAATCTATTGTTCCATACAGGGTTCTACTGTTCTAATCTTAATATCTATTTATTGGTATATTGGCATATTATAGTCTGTATCCACTGCCCTGCTTCCTGCTCTCTTGCTCATACATCATGCAAGCCCTTCTGCTCTGGGGTTAATGTTCTCCTAAACCTGTTCTGTTGAAGGTCGCCAACAACCATGTCATCACCAAACCTGAAAGCCTAATATCATTTTATACTTTTCTGTTTCTCATTGTCAACAACACTTAACAATGTTTTCTATTCCCTCCTGCTCTGAAAATGCTTTCATCTTTTGGCTCCTGAGATGTAACACCAGTTTTATGTATGTGAAGTCTCTCAGTCGTGTCCGACTCTTTGTGATCCCATGGACTGTAGCTTGCCAGGCTTCTCCGTCCATGGGATTTTCCAGGCAAGAATACTGGAGTGGGTTTCCATTTCCTTCTCCAGGGGATCTTCCTGACCCAGGGATCGAACCTCGGTCTCCCGCCCTGCAGGCAGACTGTTTACCATCTGAGCCACCAGGGAAGTTTTATGTATATGATGGTACATTTTCAATGATGACATGAAACCATAAAAGGTTCTGATATATTTTTTCTGTTTTTTTTTTTTTAAAGATTTATTTATTTTTGGCTGCACTGGGTCATCATTGCTGTGTGTGGGCTTTCTCTAGTTGTGGTGAGTGGGGTCACCCTTCACTGCGCTGTACAGGCTTCCATTGCGGTGGCTTCTCTTGTTGCAGACAGAGCTCTAGGCACTAGGGCTCAGTAATTGTGGCGTATGGACTTAGTTTCCCAGTGGCATGTGGAATCTTCCTGGAACAGGGATTGAACAAGCGTCCCCTGCATTGATAGGTGAATTCTTAACTACTGGACCACCAGGGAAGTTCAAAATGCACTCTCTTTTAAAAAAATATTATTTTTATATTTCAAATTTAAATCCAAGGTCATGAGGCTTTCCCCCTACATATATTTTTTTTTCTAAGAGTTTTAGTTTCAGTTAGGTCTTTGATACATTATAAGTTAATTTTTATATATGATACAAGGTAAGGGTCCAACTTCTTTCTTTTGCATGTGAACATCCTGTTTTCTGAGCATCATTTTTTCTGAGTGTAGTTGTTAAGAGGTCTCTCCTTTCCCCCAGTGAATGATCTTGACATCTTTGTTGAACATCTTTTGACCATGTGTGTAAAGGTTTATTTCTGGGTTCTCTATTCTCTATATATCCAGAGGCATATCTCTGTCCTTACGCCAGTACCACATTGTTTTGATTATTGTAGCTTTGTGGTAACTTTTGAAATCATGGATTGTGAACCCACCAATGTTGTCCTTCTTTTTCAAGATTGTTTTGGCTTTTTGGAGGTCCCTTGAAATCCCATATGAATTTTAGGGTGGATTTTTCTGTTTTTCCAGAGAACACCTTTGAACACCATTTTGGAAGGGATAACTTTGAATCTGTAGGTGGCTTGAGTAGTATTATCATCTTTTAAAAAAATTTTATATATTTTTTAATTGGTGGAAAATTGCTTTACAATTTTGTGTTGGTTTCTGCCGTACAACAACACGAATCAGTCATAATTATATATGTATATATATAATATATATATGTATGTATGTGTATATATATATATCTATATATATATCCCTCCCTCCCCTCCCCTCATCCTGCTCCTGTAGGTCATCACAGAGCACTAGTCTGGGCTTCCTGTGTTATTTAGCAACTTCCCACTAACTATCTATTTTACACATGACAGTGTTTCTGTGTCAATGCTGCTTTCTCAATGCATCTCACCCTCACCTTCTCCCATTGGAAATCTTCTAATTCATGAGCACAGTATGCCTTTTCATTTATCTATATCTTTTAAAATTTCTTTCAGTGGTGTTTATTGACTTTAAGTGTACAAGATTGTTCATTGTTACTGTCTAGAAATGCAGGTGAGTTTTGGTGTGTTGATTTTGTATCCTGCTGCTTTGACTTACTAGTTCTAACAGTTTTATGTGTGTGTGTGTGTGTGTGTGTGTGTGTGTGTGTGTGTGTGTGTAATCTTTAGCACTTTCTATATATGAGATCATATTATCTGCAAACAAAGATATTTTTACTTCTTCCTTTCCTGTTTGAATGCTTTTTATATCTTCGTCTTACATAATTGTTCTGACTGTAACTTCTAGTACTGAACTGAATAAAAATTGCAAAAGTGGGCATCTTTGTCTCATTCTTGATCTCAGAGGAAAAGTTTGAAATGGTTTTTCACATCAAGTATTATGTTAGTTGGGGGCTTTTCATATATGACCTTTATTATGTTGAGGTTATTTGCTTCTCTTCCTAGTTTTTTGAGTGTTTTTAACCAGGAAAAAGTCTTACATTTTATCACATGGCTTTTTTGCATCAGTTGAGATAATCATGTGAACATTTTTCCTTTGTTCTGTTAATGTGGTGTATTACATTTATTGATTTTCCTGTGTTGAGCCTTCCTTGCATCCCATAGTAAATCCCACTTGGTCAAGGTATATGATCCTTTTAATATGCCGTTGAATTCGGCTTGCTAGTATTTTGTTGAGGATTTTTGCATCTGTATATATCAGGGATATTGATCTTTTCTTGCAGTGTCTTTGTCTGGCTTTGGTGCTAAGGTAATGCTGACCTCATAGAATAGGCAAGGAAGTCTTCAGTGCTCTTCAGTTTGGGGGAGAGTTTGAGAAGAATTAGTATTAAAAACATTTTTTTTTTTCTTTTTGTGCTGGGTCTTTGTTGCTGCACATGAACTTTCTCTAGCTGTGGTGTGGGCTTTCTCATTGATGTGGCTTCTCTTGTTGCAGAGCATGGGCTCTAGAGCATGTGAGCTTCGGTAGTTGTGACACCGGGTTTAGTTGCCCCGAGGTGTGTGGAATCTTCCTGGACCAGAGATTGAACTTGTATCCCCTGCATTTGCAGGTGAATTCTTAATCACTGGGCCACCAGGGAAGTCCAAGTGTTAATTCTTAGTTAATCAATGAAGCCATCTGGTATACTTTTCTTTGTTGAGAGGTTTTTTGATTTTGGATTCAGTAACTAGTTTTATGTCTATTCAGAGTTTCTATTTCTTCATGATTTAGTCTTGGTACACTGAGTATTTCTAAGAATTTGTTCATTTTACCTGGTTTATCCAATTTGTTATCATATAATTATCCATAGTACTTTATTATAATTCTGTTAACTTTAGTAAAATTGGTAGTGATGTCCACTTTCATTTCTGATTTTATTTATTTG